CAATTTAAGTTTTTATTTTTTAAAATAGTTCAAACTTCAAGGTCATACTTCAGATTTTTTGGCGGGTTACATTGACACATCCTTGCACTTCCACAAATTTTAATTTTATTCTTAATCCTTAGGAAGAGTGGCAACCTTGATGTGTATTAATGAAAAAAAAAATTAATTCTATAATCCAGAAAATTTAGTGTAGGCATGCTTGAAAGCAAAACAAACACACAATATATTGTCAGTCTGTGCAGTTGTGGTGAACAGACTTTGGCGATTGAACGCACCTGGTGTATCGTAGACATCAAACAATAACATGTTTACAAAAACTTGTGTGCATAACATGAGTGTGATCGATGATCAGAGTTGCAAAACTCTGTACACACTGGAATGACGATACTTGTGAAGGAGCTCTGCTTTCTAACATTTCTACTCTGAATAAAATTATTTTTCTGGATAATTATAAGTTTAATTATTTCTCATTAATATACAACAAGATTGCCACTTCTCCAAAGTATTAAGAATAAAGTAAAAATGTGTAAAAGTGCAAGGATGTGTCAATCAAACCTGCCAAAAAAATTAAAGTTTAACTTTTAAATGAATTAAGATTTTTAATTCATTTTTGTGTGAAGTGCTATTAAAATATATAATTTGTGATATTATAGAGAAAATATTAACTTCAAATCTGTGTCCAAGTAACTTTAAATAAGGTTAAAGTTTTTGTGATGGATGGACAGACTGACACATGTGACAGATGAAAGAGATTTAATGTCCCCTTGCTTTCTCAAAACCCCTCAGAAATTTATTGATGTTTTCATTACATATTGAAAAGCTACGTAGATAATATTTATTGCTATAACAATTGTCACTTGAAAGCATCCTACAGAGAGAAATTATTTACCTTAGCTTTAAAATGAAGCAATTTCTCTCTCTACATGTTCTACATGTATTTTTTGTTAATAAATATTTTGACAAACTTTAAGTGCTGAAAAAAAATAATTGTGTAGGAGCAATGAATTATGATGGGTCGGTCGGAGTACAGCAACCAATGAAATGAATTTTGTTATTATTATACGTCTACTGATAACATTCGAATTTGATTGGCTTGTAAGAATGCTTTAAACTTAAATAATGACTCGAAAAGTACTGTTTACATCAATAATGACCAAGGCTAGGATCCATTGCACATTGGAGATGACTGCATGCTCATTATAAGTGCTAAATAATGACCTTTTAATAACAATTCCTATTATGGTTTAGTTAATGTCTAAAATTATAATTGAGAAAAAAAAATTAAAATATTAAAATTATATGTGCATTATCTGTATTACAATACCAAAAAAGAATAGAATATTACGATAAAATTAAATTGATTATGAAAATATCTGATCGATTATTACAACTCATTTCCACACTGTTCAAGAGAGGCAGACACGGTTTCTTCTTTACATGCACAGTTACATTGCATTAGCATGATTAGGTTTTGACTATACACAATAATAGTAATTTTTCTTGGTGCTGCCAAGAGCTAAGGACCTACATGTAATTCTAAAAAATATAAGTAATCTAATATCGATAGAACATAGCACACTGTTCAATGTAATTTGTGACAGTAAGGTGACGTGAACGACGGAGGTTTTTGTAATCAGAAAATCAAATCACTCTAAGTAAACAACAAAATAATACATGTCAAGAGTTCAGGTGATAATACAACCAGGCCATACCTTTTGCACGCCCAATATTTTCAAGTTATTCGTTGTCAATAACATTTTATCTATCATTTTACCAGTTCGGCAGTTTTGCTATTTTACTAGGATAAGACGAATGACCTTCGCTAAGAATTCAGGAATCCCATGCCCGAGCAATAAAACGAGTTAAATCAGTTAAATATCGATTCCTTTCTTGCGAGTGCATTCCTTGAATTTACAAATTAAGTAACGTATACTTACGATGTTCTTCAGGCAGCGTGTTTTCTGTCTTCTCTCTTCAAGGAACTGGGAATAACTGTCGCTCTCCAAGTAATTAGCGAGGGGCATTGTTTAATGAGGGTATACCGAAAGGGTCAAGGATCTCCAAATTAACCCCCTGTACACACCAGACTGACAGTTGTTAAACAAACATATCCCAAACAAACTACCTTCTACCTGTCTTTGGACACCGACAAAGTGGTATACAAAGACGCGTGCCATTATTGGGCACTAATGAAATCTAATTGCTACCTGTAATTTTTTTGAATTGAACAAGATGAAAGGAAAAAAAAGTCTTAGAACGTAAAATTAAGATATCCACCATATTTCGGGAAATTAAAAAATTGATCATTTTTCCCCATAGTGTACTTGAATCGCACATATTGAAAAGTCTCTTAAATTAGGTTTATTGTAACACCGTGGCTTTATATATAGCGACAAGTACGTGTACAACAGTCATTAAAGAACATTAGAATAATTTTTAAAAAAAGATTTTTAGGCAGAATTATTTATCGTTCATAAACTATTAATAAAAAAAAATACTTTACATATTTCAAGTTTTCAATCAATATACAGCTGCAAATAAATTTTCAAAAAATATTTAAACTCAGAATCAATAATATTTTATCGATTTAATGTTTGCGTACATTAAATATACAATTTGCATTATTATCGTTTTGTCAGTTTTCATTCTTAAAAAAAAATGAAACTTTTCCGTGTCGAAACGTGAAAGAGCGTGCGTTTGCGTGAAAGATCGTTAGCGATCGTGTAACGTGAAAGATCGTTGCGTGCGGAATCGTTCGTGTATCAGGTTTAATCGTTCGTTAATCGTGCGGGATCGTGCGTTTAACGTGATCGTTCGTGTAAGTTGTCAACAATAACGTTCCAGCCACTGTATGGGAGTATTTTTTTTATTCGACAAAGGAAATGTATCCAGATTGCCTAAAATCTCTCAGAAAACGGTAATTTGTATGTTCATAGCATCTTTATTCAAGCAATATTAGATTTAATATTCTAGGTTTCGGGATTACTTTTTATGATATCAAATTGAATGTCATGAAGATATCCTCTACATAATTCTGATAAAGTTAGGTAAAAGAAAGTTGAAGTTGATTATGACGACATAATGGATCAAGCACAAAAATCTAAAGTCATTCACTGGATCTTGACTTTAAAAAAGGTTTATTTTAAAGTCATTGGTAACTACCTGGGGGTATGTCTTTTCACACTCCGCATTTTTAAAACTTATACAAAATTATGCGGAATTTACTATGAATGATCTTTTGTAAAGATCAAGGTACACTTTTTTCCTTTTTTTGGTCCTGTGTATTTATGAAAAAGTGAATTGGCTAAAGTAAACTTCATGTATTAAATATCATTTAGACCTTTGGTAATACGTAAATTTCGAGATTATCTCCCTTGTTGCGCTCTTAGCGAACTTCGCGAAAATTTCTCGCACGCGAATAAAAGTTTACAGTTTATTGGACACATTGCATCATTGATGTACTGGTTTATTATATCTACATGACACAGGCACTTGTTTCAGAAATCAATTTTTACCAATAGTATAATAACACGGTATGTAACTCCGAATTACACTCAGTACCACCTCCTAAGAAACGCACCCATTTATTTAAAATAAATTGTAATTTAAAATAGCGATGTCTCTACTGATTACCCACATCGCTCCTTATCGACATCCCATAATTAACACACCTTTCAAGGATTGGCCGATGTATGGCCGAGCATCGTCAAGTGCCCGTTGAATCTATGGTCATCGTTAGTTGAGTGGTGGACAACAGACATCGGCCGATTATCTGTTAATGTACAACCAAACATTGGTCCGTAGTACACCGATTTTCGAACAATGCTCACCAATGTATGAGTGATGTAATATACAACGGCCGAATACCCTGCAATGCATGGCTAGGCATTTGAAAATCCGGCCGGCAACCACTCCAAGACAATGGTAATAAAGATTTGCCAGTGCATTTCATCTGAAAGTGTAAATTAGTGCGTTTCTTTGAAGCGCAGCTAGGTAGTACTAAGTGTATTTCGGAGTAAGATACGTTGTGTTATAATTATACTATGGATTAAAAATTAATTTCCAAACCAAGTGCCTGTGCTTCATTGTTGTCATAAAATACTATTTAACTTGAAAATAACCGAATTAATGTAAGGAAGTTATATTTTTTTAAACGAAAAAATCGCAACAAAAGATTAGAATATCGGTCAAAGTAAGATTTACAGACTAGGAAAGATATATAGATCTGAAGAAAATGCCTACATTGACATATTACTACATGTATCTGCATGCATGACAATTGAACGTCGGCAATCAAAATGACACACTGATTCCTTACTTTACTATAGCTCCAATGAGCACACGAACGTTTCCAAAGATAAAGTTTGTACAGGGAAGGAAATCTTTTATTTTGTTTAACACTAAGACGGTTCTTGTGTTTCATATACTAGTACCATAATTGAAGGCAGATTTGTAAATATGCATACTGTTCAGCTTAATAAAATCATAAAATGAATCAATTCTTCATATTGATACATTTCTATAACATAAAATGAACTATTTTCGCACTTTTTTTATAACAGAAACATGTCCCACTTCCATGCTGATTTGGATACTTTTTGCGCCTATATCATAGGAGAGTTACAATCTCGAAACTCGCGTAATGCATGTCTATAAAAAATAACGTAATTTTCTAGCTAGTCGATGCATTACGACGTCACAAAATGCATCAATTTCCTCATATTCTGACAAAGTCTACAAAACAACAAACGTTTAAAGCTATTTTTCAATATCTAATATGTAGCACAACTTCTGATCTAAAATAAGCAAGTAGTAAATTATAGAACTGTTTCAGAAAATTGCATGACAGTTTCGTTTTAGATAAAAGGGTGAGCTCATATTAATTTTCTTCTCTGAAAATACTCATATACACCTGATTACATTACATTCAGAACATTGCTATTGTAATAGCTTAACGCCGTTTAATGCATATAACATGAATATATTTTTTCTAATGTAGAATCTCCTACAATAAAGAGATATGAACTGGCATCTTCCTCGGCAACTGCATTCCTTACTTCTCTTTCTCATCAACAAAAGAGAGACCTAAGGGAAGAATGTCGAGAGGGGTGTACATATGAAGAGGTCTGGGAAGTGGTGAGTGCTAGCTTGATTGATGGCTTGATAAAAATCTTATTCTTAATGTACAAAATGTCAAATTTTTGTGCCGTTCATTTATTTTATTCAATTTATCAAGATACTGTATATATGATTACTTTTACGAGTTGAAAAATTAACGATTTTTTGTTTACAAATATTGACAAGAGTTAATTTTGACGAAATATTTAATCAAGAGTTATGTATCTTGATTTCACAAGGCTAAAGAAAGACAATTCCTGAGAGCCCCTGAAAAAAGAATTTCAAAACTGGTAATCAGAGAAAGTTCGCAAGAAACTACAGGACAAAAGAAATTGTTAGAAAAATTGGCTTCATTGACATAGAGTTGAGAATGCTGCTTCATATGAAATGGGTCCTGAAATTCACGATGTAATAAACAAAGACCGCGAATTTTTCTTGAACTCATTTACATGCACTGTCATCAATAAAATTTAATTTTGCTTGTAAAAACCTTCTGCAGTGGTAACACTTAGATTGAATAAATTGTTCTTTTATAATTTGTACTTTGTTTTAATTATGCGAAACTGATCAAATGCCTGATGGGACAAAGTTGGCCAGCAAAGAGTGATAATTACGCAGCAGTTAGATTGTTGTTACCGTTGTTGTGTAATAAAAGTATACGACATTCAGTCGATTCAATGGTTTGGATTAGATTTAATGGTTTTCAGTTAAAACGGTGATATTTTTTTCATAACTACATGTTCCCACGAGAAAACATTAAACAGTTACTTTTGTATAATTATATAGTTTTAATAGGGAGAAGCCGATTAAAGTGGTCAAGTTGTACAACGATTAATGTCTGTTGTGACGCTATACATGTACATATAAAATAAAGTTTGACGAGTGGAAATTTCGACGAGAGAAGAAAAATCATTAATATAGTCAAAATTAACACGTTGTCAAAATTTCAAGGTTTACATTATGGTTTTATTGGCATTTCCACTTCTGCTTTTTACATCCTCGCAATGTCAAAGCTTTGTGATTTTAGAACTATATCCTTGACATTGTAAGGAGGATATTTTTATGTACTTTATAACCGAATGCATATAATTTAATTTTTCTTCAAACAATAGGTCAAACTACGGAAGCCTGTCCTGTTTAGAGTTTTTTATTTTCATTTAAACACAAGAATTATTGAATTAACACGCAAAACATTGCGTTGAATCACAATAACAAGTGCAATTAAACGCAAATGGTTGCGTTTAATCGCAATATATAATGTGTTTTTAAGCAAAACACTTTGAATTTAATCGGAAATAACTACAGTCCATTGGAAAATAAGTTGTAAAAGACATGATTCGTAATAATACTAGTGCATGTATGTATGCATGTCCTTTGGTATTAGTCAGGAACACAAATTCGATTCTTGGCCATGTTATGTCTATCGGAACTAAATAGGAAGTCTCAACGAAAGTAGAAGAGTGTTTTGATGTGCTACTCAGAGCCTCAGTGTTTTCAACCATATTTCAGTGCATGAAAAATGTGTAAAAATGTAAAGGGTTGGGAGATGGATAAAGTATAAAGATTGGTTAAATATTGGCCTTTAATTAGGGAGTGAAAGATAGAAAATTGACTGATATTGGAAAATGGGGAAATTCTCCAAAAAGAGCGCAAAAAATATTGCGCCGTAAATTGCACCTTTTTTGCATTATGGGATGTGTAACTTTAAGGTCAAAGACAAATATATAAAACCATAACACTACAGTTCTGCAGCAAGTTATAGTGCGACTTCGGTTTGGTAGGAGTTTATTAATAGTCTGACATTGTTATGGTCCTACACATCTGTCAGCGGATAAAACCAATATCATTTTTTTTCAAATTTTGTCTAATTAGAAAAGAAATCAATAACTGGGCATGGAAGTCTAGAGGATTGTGATGAATAACAGAAAGAAAAATTTTCCCACCTTTTATGTTAATTTCATTTGATCGGAAGATTTATAGAAAGTGACGAAATTAAACCTTTGTGACTCCAAAAATGTCAAGGTCACGTCACAATAGGCCCATCGTTTACACCAATTACACAGCAGGAAAAAAAATGGCGAAATTTGCAGAAACCTGGGTCGCGGAAATTGACCAACTTTTTGATAATAGGAATATCAACAACGCATCACATTTAATATCTGTGTCCCTGAGAATCATCCAGGATTACTTTGTACTTAAAAACAGTCGCAATAGTAAAAACCTTTTAAAAAAATTCTGAACTGGACTTTTTGAACGACATCGATGATCAGTACCTGATGAATGTGTTGGAGCAGCCCAACTTGAACACTAAACTCCGTCCTCAAAACTTCATCACTAATTGCAAATGTTACAATAAACTACAACAGTTTACTAAAGTTAAGATTGAGTCTACTAGACTTTTTTTTTATAATAGGAAACCGACCATTTTGTTTACGTCTTGTTTTGCAATGCTTCATCACAACCCCCCCCCCCCCCCTGAATTCTGTACTACATAAAAAGAGAGTTATTGACTGTTTGAGGCATTGCATATAATATTTCACTGTGTATACACAAATATTTAAAACCCTTCATCTGAATATTGCTGAAAGTGTTTTATTGCTAATATTTTTGTGTGTAAATAAACCATAGGAAGGCCTGAGATAAAAAATATTTAAATCTCATACAAAGGACCTAACAAGGAAGTTTAATGCAGGTATTTACTTCCCTAACATCTAGCGGAAAAAAACCAAGCAGAGATATGGTAGGTTTTAATTGATAAATAATTATTAGCATTTTGTTAACCTTGCGTAGGTTTTTAAATTAAAATACACCATTGGAATATTCATGATAAGATGGTGCCAATGATTTGTGTATTCTGTAGATCATTATTTTATTTTCTATACCAATCTATTCTGTAACCTTCTGAATAAAAGACTCATAAAGTAGATATATAACTTTCCCATTTAATATCACATGACGTTTGTTTTTATTCTAAAAATCTTTAAATAATTATGCCAAATGATATAGAACGTAGACATTTCTACTTTTACATGTATATACATGTATTCAAGGGAGAACTTTGTAATACTCAGTGCATGTTGGTATGTTTAGGTATTAAAGAAAACAATTACTGTGAAATCAAAAAAAAAATTGGTGGGGGTTTAATTTTCGTTGTTTTCGAGGTGTGTAGAGACATCGGAGTTCATGCCCACCGCGAAATGTAAAGTGTTACATACATAACTACTCAACAATTCTTCATCCACGAAATCAAATCCCCACGAACCAAGAGTTTTCCCTCAAATCACGAAAATTTTATCCCACGATAATATAATATATTAGCAAGGAAAGATCTTTCTTGCATAACTCTGATAATAATTTCTCCAGTGAACAATATGGCATTTTAGCTTTTTGTGTGTGTGGTGGAAGGGGGAAAGGAGTTATTGGAATTTTTATTCGATCAGAGAAAAATCTATTTAAAGAAAAGAACATTTTAGAGTTAATACTCACTTTCAAAAAACAAGATTATAAAAACTTGTCCCAGTGCATTTCATAAAATGTAAATCATTATCTTTATACTAAGACTAATATTTAAAAACTTAAAGATGAATTACAATAAAAGTAGGAATTATAGGGTTTTTCACCTTGTACAAAGTCACTAAAAATGGGTGTTCTTATTATCATTTAGAGGTTCAAGTGGTGATGAGAAATCCCGGCTATAAAACAGATTCGTACTTTGTAAATGCATGCTTATCCTTAGGGACGTTCGATCCTGTGCTTTTCAGTCGATTATGGTCTGGACCTTTATTTATAAAGGACCTTATTATAAACTTCTGCATCTTTTTAAAGTTTTAACATTGATAATAGATTTTAACTATATCCATTGTAAAAACTGCAATATAATTCTATTCAAGTAGGATTAAGCCAAGAACCATATTTTGTGGCAGAAGGAATTTTAGAAGAAATTTATTTTTTTCCCTTTTAAACTATATCAAGCACTGTTAATTTTAGATTCCTATTTTCCACTCTGGTTGCACACAAAGCTGTTTTTGCGGTGAAATGTGTAATGGTGGTTTTAGAATATCTATTAAATTATTTCCTTATGAATTCTGTCAATGAATTGTGACAAATAAAGTTAATACATTCAGAAACTCCCGGAGAAAATTGAGCCAATTTTAGCTTAAAATTGACAGTTTTTTAGTATATATAATATCTAATAAATTGCATTATCTTCCTCCACTTTTGATGTTCTTTCCTGAATATTCAAATGGAGGTCTGCTTAAATTCAGCAAAAGTTTGAGACTTTAAAATAATTGTCACGCTTATCTAAGTTTGCGAAGCAATTTGCAACTTTTCCTTTGTCGCAATTTTAAAGTGTCTTTTTATAAATATATTTATGATTTACATTGTTCCGTGTTTTATTTGGATAAAAAAATTGGAGGGAAAATGTCAGAGATGTAATTTTTGAAAAAAGACACGAATTACAAAGGTCATATTAAATCTACTTACGCGCCGAAAGAAGCATATTGACCCCCATTTTTTTTGGGAATTTTTAATTACGCTTTGTATGTACTAAAAATATACTTGACAAAAACGTTTAACAGTTGAAATGTCAATATCACGAATTGCAAACCTTCAAACATTTATGTAATCCTCGGAGTCCATGTCTTCAAACAAACTCAATGAGCATTTATTTTGCTTCATTATAATCCTCTAAATATTTATCTATTCCTTTTAAGAAGAATTACATCATAGACTTCTACATTGAAAGGCTCGTTCGCATGGTGCAGTTGTTATCTGAGCGTCTGCTTCAAAATAAAGCAAAGTTAAGGAATTGATCCTTACATCGCGGATTCGAATCCTACTATGGGACAATGAGACCTGTCCTTTGGATGAGACCGTGTCAACCTAACTGAAATAATGTAGCTCTCTCTCCCTTTTTTGAGAGATAGCTACAACTCCTTAGGATCACCGTAATGGTGCAGCTACGGGAGTGATTCGCCCCGTACGGACTTCGGCTCAAATTGTCAGTAAAGGCTATTTTTTACCTGGACTTCAAAAATGTTATCCAAGACATACAATGTAAATCAATCCAAATATATACAGAACGATCCAAAAATCGGTTATTTTTTCGTGTGTGTCAATATCACAAATTGAATTTTATCCATGTTTACTGACCTTGATAAATTGTATTTTGGAAAGCCAATGAAAATTAAGGTTCTATAGGAGCGGATCTTTTAGGATCTTTTTAAACATAAATATCGCTGTTTTGCGTAAAAATAACATTTGAAATGGTTTTATTTATCGATGTTCTGGTGACACAATTCAACACAATGATTAATACACACAGAC